ATTTTTTATCATAGTTACAAAAAGACTAAACGGACTTCTGTGGTTCTGAATTGAAGGTATACGGCTATGAGGAGGAGTTTTTCGATTTACGTGGACTTTTTATAGTATAACGAAGTTCTTCTGTACACGCATACTAACGACGTCAAAGGGGCCCTGCAACACTTTTTGAGCATGATCCAGAAACTTTGGCGATTGATATTCGAGTCTGCGGAGAATACGTGAGCCAAACATCAGAGTGCAGCACGTGGCCTATAGAGTTCACAATTATTTCTCAAAGTCAGCTCGAAATCGCTCACTGTTCTCTCGACCAATGACGACAAATAATGTAATAGATCGAAGGGACCACGCAAAGAGCCCAATTTTCATGACCATTGGCTGATTCGAGCATCGTAAGCTGCGTAGTTACAGTAGCCGCCACAGGATGTCCCCACCTGTTACTCGCTCGCGATCACAGCTACAGTAAGCCACGCATTCGAAGAAAAAAACTGCAAGAGCTTAATTAATGTCATGACACGCACTGATGAACGTACGCATCTTCTTATCCCCTTGTCTACCCCCCCCCCCCCCCCAGTATAGCTTTCAGCACACTCGCTCTTATGAAACAAGAGAGAAAGCGCTTAAAGCGTGTGAAAAATCCCTGTCACTCCGCTCGGATTTGACGAATACCAAAAAAATAATTGTGCCAGTTGATTCCTGAGACAATAACCTTTTTTAATTCACTCATTTGATGATTACTTAGAAAAGTGTTGCAAAAATTCTACAATGAATAATCGAGCACACGAATTTCATGCACTCACGATGAAACATGGTATACTTTAGAACCCGCATTTGTCATGCACGAAGAAGAGGTTCAAAAATTATTCTAGACACCTTCTAATGTTTAGGTGAAATGCAGAGACCCATGTTGGCGATCAGAATTATAATTCACAAGTTATAGCCTTTTTGAGCGTATGACCTGCATATGCTACATGACACTGGTTATACGAACGTCTGTACGCTCTACGTGAGAAAAACTCAAATGACCTATATCACGTGTATTCTGACATCTTCATAAAATCCCACCTGTACTCACCGGGGGGCGCCTCGGTGCGCTGTTTCGTCCAATCATCGTAGCGACTGGGCGTTCCGGTGTGCAACGGTGCAGTTTGTCGAAAATGGCATTAGATTTTCTTAGTTTATAGAGACGGCATGGGCCACTTTCACCGTCGCTATATACACCGTAGGACGCTGAAGTAGTTGGTGTTCTAATGGCGAATTTTATTGAGAAAAGAGAGGTAGAGGGGCTGGGCAGTGAGTAGTGGGGGGGGGGGGACAGCACTGAAGGCAGGGCCACTTAACCTGCCACTTGAATGCAGTGTGCTCCCGAAGGGCATGCAGTTGAAGGGGGTGATGAGTGGGGAGACCATGTGACTGAAACATTCCAATCCCCGGCATATTCTTGTGGGGCAGCAGCAAAATACGCGTGAAATCGGTCAGACATGTGTTCTTTATTACCCTATTACCTAGTATGGTTGTGGAACGACCCATTCGGCAGACGTCCAGCTGTAAAAAAGCCACCCGTACAAAACAGCGGTGTCAAACTACACATGGTTGCTACTATTGCCACCGCGCTCGCCGGCTAAGAAAAAAATCGGAAACGGTGACGTTCAAGGGCCAAGTCACTCGTGGTACTCCGCCTACTCCGCTTTTCAGGCGAGAGCACTGCGAACTGCTCCTGGCTGCTCTCGGCACAGCAAAAGCACTCTCGCTCTACCAATGGATGACAGTGCTCCTGTACCTGTTCGACCACTGAAACCCGCTGGCTCTGAAGAGAGCACTTTTAACGTGCATTTGAATGCTCCTGCTCTCCCAGTGGAATTTGCCATAAGAGTGGATATGCGCACCCACTTAACCTTTCAGCGGCAGCCCTTTTGGCCACGACGGAGGTTATCATCATCATTATCATCATCATCATCGTCATCATCATCATCAGCCTGACTACGTCCACTGCAGGACAAAAGCCTATCCCGTGTTCCGCCAGTTAACCATATATCCTGTGCTTGCTGCTGCCAATATATACCCGCAAACTTCTTATTCTCATCTGCCCACCTAACCTTATATCTCCCCCTAACTCGCTTGCCTTCTCTGGGAATCCAGTTAGTTACCCTTAAAGACCAGTAGTTATCCAGTCTACATTGCATTGCTGAATTACTCAGGGGACTAATTGCCACTCATGATTACAAAGTTAGACAACGAGAGCAGAAAGGTGGGTCTTAAAATTAATCTGCAGAAAACAAAAGTAATGTACAACAACCTCGGAAGAGAGCAGCGCTTCGAGAAAGATAATAGTGCACTTCAAGTTGTAAAAGACCATGTCTACTTAGGGCAGGTAATAGCCGCGGAGCCGAACCACGAGATTGAACTAACTAGAAGAAAAAGAATGGGGTAGAGCACATTTGGCAAGCACTCTAAAATTGTGACAGGTAGGTTGCCACTATTCATCAAGAGGAAGGTATGTAATAGCTGCATCTTGCCGGTACTTAGCTACGGAGCAGAAGCCTGGAGACTTACAAAGAGGGTTCAGCTTAAATTGAGGACGACGCAGCGAGCAATGGAAAAAAAAATGGTAGGTGTAACGTTAAGAGACAAGAAGAGAGCAGAGTGGATTAGGGAACAAGCGGGGGTTAAGGATATCATTGTTGAAATCAAGAAGAGACGGAGGTTATAGTCATACATTTTCAACATGTTTGGATGCCAGTGAACAATACGTGGCGTGCAGTGCAACCGATGTACCAGTACATCCTTTTTAGGCTGCACATCTTTACTTTCTGAAAATGACAAATGGATTCTATTTGCAGGCTAAACGGCAAAAATCTAAGGTAGTTTGGAGAGAAGTATCATGACGGCGGGTAAGGTGTGCGAACACGGATACATGAGAAGGTAGTCAAGGTTGTCTGGTGCTCCTACCTCGTGTCCGTGTGCGCCTGCCTTACTACATTTTGTGATGAATCCTTCGTAGGGTTTCGTGCTGTTGACGGGCGATCGACAATAAAGTTTCTTGACTGCTGCAGTTCAACATATGCATCAATTGCGTCATGGCCTATTCTTTTCCGACTGCATTCAAAACATCCCATTGGACGTTGACCCACCATTGTAGCTATACATATCACACACATCAGTCAGCAAGCCTCCTAACAAATACCTACACGAGCTCAAACTCCATGGCGGTCGTTCAATGCTTATGAAACGCTGCGTGATTGCGAATATGAAGCCACAAGATTGTCACGCGAAAATGAGAAACTAGCCATCGGGCAGTTGTAGGAAAAAAAAAACGCGACTTGATGCTTAAGTGACTTCAAAGCGGAGCAGTGTAATTGATTGATAATAAGCAAGCTCATTCAGTCATCTGACATGTTCATAACAATGCCAACTCTGTTAGTGTGTTTTTATCTGTTTTCTAACGTGTGTTCATCTGGTAAGTTCACTGATTTTCATGCAAGCTAGTACTGGTCCTATTAAACTCGGAAAAACTGCTGCCAGCCCTTTCTTTCACCAGTTCACCACACTGCACGCAATTTACTGTGGCACACCATAACATACAATATGCTTGACTACGCGTGGAGAGATGACAACCGCATTAAGGCACCCAACTCGCCGATTACTTGTATTTCCGGGCAAGAACTCGTATGCTAATTTCGCATATGATAAGCACTGATAAGGTCCAATGGGAAGTTTGTGCGTGAAATCACAGAAACTTCTGCGCTTTATCTGTGAATATTTTTGACTTGGAATTAACACAGACCTCCCGGCTTCACAGGTTTTGCAATGTTCAATAATTCTGTTCTTGAACAGAGGACTGAATACTTGAATCATGTCCCCAGCCGACGTCGGTCTAAGTGCATATTGAAACAAGTTCTGTGTTAGTGAAAATTTTAAACTCTGCCACAAACTTTATGTGGCTCGAACTGACGTCACTGAAACAGCCCTGACGGAGCACCAGCTTGGTAGGGCGCGAAAATCGTGATGTCGCGTTGGTGTTATCAGATAAGTACATCGCATGCTGGTTCTTTCGTGACGTGCGCTTTAGATCCCGTAATTTCCCAGCAACATCGTTATCGCACTAAAACAGGTTAATCGCCAAGCAATTGTACTGCCTTGACGTCATCTGAGCCACCCGGTTGTACCCATGTTATGCGACTGTGACGTGACGTGCAAGCTATCAATGCGATATTTGTCAGTCAAAAATATACGCAAGAGCAGTACGCAAGAGCAGTTCTTTTCGAGCGCTTTCGCGGTGATCTTCATTTACACTTTAACCTCATCATTTCAATTGTTACTTTGAGCCAGCGAAAGACCTTTATTCTTGTTAAAACTTTCGTCGATCAATCTTCTATTTTTTCTTTTTGTTTTCTTCTTATGCTACACGACGCGTTTTACGTTGTGAAGCACCCGTGCACTCTTGGCTTCCTCGCACGTAACCAGAGATGAGGTATAGTCGAGGCCACGAGGAACAGTTCAGAAAATGTGCTTTTCTGTCGAGCACGTGCACTGCTTTTTAACTACACTAAGCCACCGCAGGGCACTACGCTGCTGCGTCTGGTGGGCGTCAAGAAAGCAAGCTACTCACTGCGTGGAACTTGTGTCACGTTCGCGGCACCCCCACCGACACGCCTTGAGCAGCCATTGCACGCAGATGAAGTTCTATGGAAACTAGGAGCATGAACTTTGAGAGGTGACGTGCGTGTGCCGCCGACACGAACTCAACAAACTGTATTAATAACACTACAAACAGTCACCGTGTGTATAAGGGCTGCATAGAGAAAAAAAAACGATGTCTCTGACCTGTGTACACGTGCTGTTTTCGTACAACTGGTAACTGCAGAATGGAGTGTTACATTTTGAAAAGTGGCTCAGTGGGAGATGAACGTGCTCTGCACGTTTATCTGTAGAGCAGCAAGCTCAACGATGAGAGGGGCAATGCAAAAAAAAGAAGAAAGAAACAAAGCATACATTGGACGAGGTTCACATTAACGTGCTACCACTGAAGAAGAGGTAGATTTTATTCTGCAATCGAAGCGAAGGAACTCCTTTTCTTCTGTATATTCTTGTGCTCTCTTTTTTGACCAGAAAGGGATGAAAGTGGTGGGGTAGTCACATTCAAGTTCCGTTGTGCCGGCTCCGCTGTCTTGTATTTGAACCGCTTAGCCCTGGTCCTGAAACAATAAAAAACAGATGTGCAGGCATGAATATAAACTCGGCATGCTCGAGGACATATGCCAAGGATCTCTAACCCTACTCTGCAGCAACAGCATGCTTTGCGTAGAACCAAAAGCCCGGGGCTCCAAACCCTTAGCTTCTGTGTGGTTTGGTATACAGTGCCAGAAGAAAGTAAGCGGGCCAAATTGATAGTATCGCAAAGATCTTACTTTGTCTCGTCGGGGACAATTATACTGTAGTAATAAGAATAATATTCTGGAGAGTCAATGACAAAGAAAACAAAGTGAACATTAAGGAATCGGCAGTGCTCGTCTGCATGGTCCCGCGAAATGCGCATCCCTTTATCCGACATTTATGCCTAGCGCCGACGCACAAGAACATTTTGTACATAGTTCATTACTCTAACTTCGAACTGATTAGTGCACTTACAAGGTGGTTGGGGGACCTAATCACCTGGTAAAAATAAAAAAAAATTCGGCAGATCCCACGTACCTGGGATCGACGTTATGCGAAGCAGGCAAAGAAACAGTGACCGTGTTGCATTTTTTTTTTCTGGAGTGACACGTCATGAAATGACGCTAAATATGTGTACAAATGTTGCACGCATAGACATGTGTTGGAGAGTTGCAGATGTTTATATAACCAGTTGTTTGCACTTGCACAACGATGCACACTGGAACACGCGTATCACTAACACCAAAAGCTGAAATGAAGCGCTGATGATCGCGAAGACTCTGCTCATGGACAGTGTTACATAAATCAACTTCAGCGCATTGCACCTAACTACAATTCACGTTAACTCTACGTGACGGCTGTATCAAAGGAGTGCATATGTAATGTTTACAATATTGGGTAGGTACCACCACAACCACTATTGACGTTTCACGAAAATCAGCGTCTATTTGAAAAGCACAGTTCCGAGACCTGGCGCATATAGCTCTGTGGTAGAATGCTTCATTGCCACGCATAATTCTTTGGTTTGGTTCCATCTGCAGCCCTGACATTTATTATATGCCTTCTTTGGGTCGACCCTTCCGATGCTGGGCATTGCTTAACGCTCACGCGTTAAAATTGCCCATGTGTGCTTTCGTCATTCCTGGGTAGATGCCAAGTGTCAATTCCCTGTGGCACATACCCGCATACCAGCGGCACATACACGCCCATGCGTATGTGCCACTGTCTGGCGGGAAGTGTTTGACGACGTACGCGACGGGACCGTGACATTATTCATGTCTTTACCAGCGCGTTATATTCCTCAAACCATCTTACCCTCCCATGCTAATTTTAGTTCACGCCAAGTGAAGGGGGTGACAACGAGAGCACCCAAATGAAAGTGGTTAGATAGATAGATAGATAGATAGATAGATAGATAGATAGATAGATAGATAGATAGATAGATAGATAGATAGATAGATAGATAGATAGATAGATAGATAGATAGATAGATAGATAGATAGATAGATAGATAGATAGATAGATAGATAGATAGATAGATAGATAGATAGATAGATAGATAGATAGATAGATACGCTCAAAGTCGCTGAAGTTCGCTAAGAAATGCTTCGCATTTAAAAATCGTGTTTTCACAGATGCAGTGCCCACATGCAGTGTCGGGACTATAGAACTCTTGCTAAGTCACGTATCTGCGAACTTCTCGGACCTTTGCGGCAAACTTCACCACTTCCTGCTGCAATGACGCTAAAACACCGAGTGAGAGAAAGAAATAAAGATAAAGAAACAAAGAAAGCAAGCAAACATTGAATGGGTGTTCGAGTCTCATGAAAAACACAGATATTTTCGTTATTGGTCGATAAACATTTTTTTTTTTCGCTTTCGCCTCTCGTCTAAAAGAGGGAAAGGGGCGGCAGATTTGACTCGGCCGCCACTTGGAAAGCAGTAGCAATTGTTCTTAGACAAGATAGTTTACACGTAGTGGAGTCATTGTAGCTCGAAGGAACACGGGAAGGAGAAGGAGAGGACGCCACGAGTGCTGTCTTCACGATATACAATGACTTCGGTCCGTGCCAACCAATGTGCCCAAGAAGGAGTGTTACTGCGTAACCTTTTCTGTACATCGGGCCCTTTTGCTTCTTATTCTTTTCGTGTTCTGGCGCTTGTGATGCTATGTCCTCTCTCTGTCCGTGTTTCTCCTCGCTACAATGCCTTGTGAACGTGCAAATCAACTCGCCCAAGAAGAAGTTCAATCTATTTTTTTTCAGTTCGTGTTTTTTTTTTATTTACCAGACAAAGACTGGAAAGTCGCCAATGCTGAAAGCCGTAGGAACGGTTTGACAACGGCCCCGGAGACCTGTACATGTACATGGCAGTAGTGTGATAATGATTGGAGGTACATAACACGCAAGTACAAAAGTAAATTTGAATAATGCTTACTGATCCGTAAATGACTTCACACGTAATTATGTTCAAATACATGTTATAAATATGCAACAAAAAAGGGGTTTCCAGAAATCAATGTACACTAAGTTTTATATACTTTCCAGTACAGCGGGCACTATTGCGTGCTATCCTTCTCATGTTCTAACGCTCATGGTGCCCTGTTCTCTGTCTGTCTTCTTCGCGCTACACTTTCTGTGTGTGCCATTTGGAGCACAGTCGGTACGACTAAACTTTTCAGATAACTTTTCACCTCTGTTACAGGAAGCAGAAAATAAAAAAGAGCATACGTCGAACGCAATATAAGGAGGCTCGAAAGTGACAATTACCACGCGCGCGCGCGCAGTGATTCATCATAGTCGCGCCCAGCAGTAGCGCTTAAAAGTGAATTATAAACGCTTTATCGAAGGTTGCAATCAGCTTGAGTAAAAGAGGCGAGCTTACTATAAGAACGCTGTCCCCACCGATAAGCCGCGTGGTTACCTATTAAACGCTTGAGTACTGAAAGGCGTGCCGCGCGGCACAGTACGATGGGGCCGCAATTATACGGGGCAGGCGAGGAAATACATGCACCCGGTTACACGCAGATTTCGAAGAAGAAGAGGCGCCATAACTAGCTGATATTCACAACTATACACCGTTAATTACTGTCGCCGCTCCTGTGGTGCACAGAGGAGGAGGTTTTGAACGAGAAGGGCTAAAGATCGCGTAGAAAGCTTAAGTCACCATTTGTGCTGAAGAGAAAGTGGTTGACGTTGCCAGAAGACGTACCTTAAATGCATACGCACCACAGCTGCCGTTTGATGACTATGTGTTTTCTTCAATAATGTCTAGAATATTTATTTACAATAGCTAGTGTATACGGTGTTACACTCGACAAGTTCACCACTCAGGCTTAAGCAGTGTTGTCTGGTTTTGATTGCTTTATAGCCTAATGTTTCTTGCAATGGTTACGAAATACTACTTTTGCCATATAGTGGCTAAACAAGCTGCTAAATATGAAAAAATACTAAAAATAACAACACAATAAAGTTTGAGCCGCAATCATGATAATTATACAAACTCTTGCATTGTATAATTATCATCGTTCTCATCATTGTATAATTATCATTGTATAATTATCATCCATCGTTATCGTTATCAGGTATCATTGTATAAATATCATCCATCGTTCACCGTGATAGCTAAGTGATCGCAGTGCCACTGTTCCCACTAATATTTTTTTTAGGAAGCCTTGACAATGGGACGCAATATGAAACACCGGAATGCACAGGTCACGTAGGTTCTTTTTCATATACACAGCGATGAACGGAAACTGATGAGACAGATCGCAATAAAGGAAGAACTAATAAAGGCGCTGGTCATTTCATGCTTGATATCTTCACAAACTCTCGGTCGAATGACGTCAGCTGTTCTTTTTTCGTTGCATAATTAGGCAGCTGATGTTTTGGTCATTGCTGGTCCGTGATAGATAGCAATGCCTACATTCCGCCACAGTTGAGCTAAATCAGTTATAGGTAGTGGGCTTTTCAAACCAATGATCTACCTGTTTGGCACGCTGTGCTGGGTGAGAAAGAATTAGTTTTTATTCCCTGAAGTTTTTTAGTGGGCACATATAAATTTACACGAGGCAGTAATGGCTAGTAGAAGCCGACGAGGAAGCAGAGTGCGTGATATGGAATAAAAGTATGGCACATGAGCCACACCGCGTCAACTGCATCTAGCGTCACATGTGAACAATATTGCGTATTCTTTCCAACAAAATGTGACAGTTGTAGATGGCACCGAAACCAATACATCACGCTCCGCACCGCGACCCCATAGTCACTGGGCTGTGCTGGCGGGTTGCCACCTTATTCACTAACTCAGAATTTCATTAGCTGACCTTCCGACTTCGAAGCATGATCAGCGCGAGTGCGCATGGCATTAACACAAACCCCACTTTGACATTTAAGCCGTCTGCGCCTCCTTGACATTTGGATTAAACCGGAGTGTGCACTTCTGCATATAAAGCAGGACAAGTTCCGAATTCTGATGTCCTGCTCGTAAACAGCTATCATATTGCAGATGTTCTTGCTGCATGAGAAGTACATCGAATTCATCAGCATCTACACTGATATGTTGGCTATTCTAAGGGTTCTGTAAAAGCCCTCGTTTCCCCAGAGAAAGTCACCACATTTCGTTCCTATACACGTGTAATCCCACAGCATCCCTAACCGCAGAATATGCAGCTGTTCGTATTGTACTTCACATAAACCCTTCGGTCGTGTTATAGTGCTACCGAAAAAAAAAACTGAAATGTGGTTCATATTCACTCACTGAAAGAATGGGGCAGCAATACTCACTATTAGCCCAGCGGCGCGAACAACATAGTCAGCCACTTGTAACACAATGCAACCTCGACAAAGGCAGGGCACCGTATCACATGGGAATAGCTTGCACGTCACTGTGACTTTAATAGTAACAATCTATCAGATCGATAACGTAGCTCCAGTCACTTCTGACGGCAGTACGCAATAACTTATACCTCTGTTACACTCAGATGAAGTACAAAACCATGCGCTTGTAAATAAAAAAATACTATATGCAAGCATCATGCATTTCGCACCATGTGAATTGCGCAACGAGTGGCTCGTTTAAATATTTTTATGCGTTACGACAGGCATTTTTCCCCCTGTCTTCTTATCTGTCACTTCTCTCCTCCAGCCCATAGAGCAAGCAGCAAGCGATTGGGATACTTCTGGCTAACCTCCCTACTATTCCTCTCTTTTATCTGTCTCACTCGCTCACAAGGTACGAAAAGCTTTAACGAACCACTCTTTCACAAGACCCTTTATCGCAAAGGTTTTGCGAACGAAAATGCTTACAGTAAGGGTTTTCGGCCCTTGTTCACAAAAACATCTTACGTTAGAATTGCTTGCAAGCAAGAAATTCGGCCCTTCGTAATGTCGGATACCATTAGGGAAGCCGGCTGGACAATAACAAAGAGCAGCAACGAACTAGAAACTTTCCGAACTTTGATGATTATTCATGCAGAGTAGGAGCAACACTATGCATGTCATATCTTTATGTCTTCGTGCGTGAGCGCTGTATGAAGATGAAGCGTATTTTGCTTTAAGCTTAAGTATAGGGTTATGCTTCATATCATGCCCCTATTATCGTCACGTGCCACTCTCCCTCGTAAAGCGTTGTTGATTAAAGAGTTAACAGACACATCAAGCCATGAGCGCTAGAAGTAAACGACAGCGAAAAACTGCGCGCAAAGGAATGATTGAGCCAAGGTGGGCCTTCCAGACGTGCGCAATGAGAACGTGGGGCGCGCGAGTCCTTCTGAACGACGCATGTGGCTGCGGCGCAGAAAAAAAGAAAAAGCGCGTGCCATGCTTTTCGCTCGACTAGCTAAGCTGGCTGCCAACGTGGTTGCGCGGAGCACTGGCTTACGTGATGGATCACTGCAACCTCGTCTGAACACGCGAAGAAAAAAAAAAAAAAAAGAACCCCGCCAAAATTGAAAAGGAAAACAATGGCAGCTGTTTACTACGAGATCGCAAGCCCAGCAAAAAAAAAGATAAAAATAAAAGTTTAGGCACAAGTGAAATATAGAAAAAACCAAAAGAAGCTTACTGCCTCAGAACAGCAGTCACTCCTAGTGTATAGAGAGGTAAGTTAGTTTGCGAAGTAAGAAAAAAGCGACTGGGGAGGGTCTACAGGCTTCATAGAAGAGCTGGAAAGCGACGTTGCGAATGTCGTGTTAGGGAGACGTTACGTACGTGTCACGCGCGGCCACGTCCAACAAGGTTTCGATGCGCCAGTTTTCTAGCAAATAGAGTTTGGTGTCGCACCGCAGGCTACCCTAAACACGCGTGCTCTGTGGTGTGACTTTTCCACCGAACAAACGAAAACAGACACAATGACGTGTTCTAAGCTTGTAGCTCATTCGTTTTCGTCATTAGCCGAAAAAGCCCTCCCGTCCTGCGCCCATCTGGCTCTCTGCATTATTACCTGCGTCGTGGGTACATGTCTATAGTATGCGACCTGCCACGCGGCAAACGATTTCGTTGCGTTGAGGTTCAGCGTTGTGTGTTTTTTTTTTTATTTTTCTGTTTTATTTTATGACATTGTTTCTTCTTTGAACTAACCTGATCGCATGACATATAATCCGTACACCACGTACATGCAACCCGCACACAAGGCAAAAAAAAAAAAACTAAAAAAATGAAGGGTTCAGGCAGTTTACACGTGATACTATTTTGTGTCAGAGCTCCGCAGAAACAACTTTAAGCACGATAACCTCTTTTACTTACGAAGCGAGTATATAGAAACATGCATTTGCTGTATTTCCTGACTGTGGCCACAAAGAAAAAGAACATAGCGTGCTCTTGTAACCCTGTGAACACTATATGCTAATTTACAACTTTCAGACGTGCTGTCGACATGCACATGGGTGCTTTCACTACAATAGCACCTTTGGCAGCAGGAACATAAATCATCATAACTTTGTTAGATGCACCAGAAATAATATGGCACAAAATTTCACGCAGCGGGCTCTGTGTTTGTCGTTACTTAAGTTTTATGCTATATACCGCTTGTAGGGAGACAGCGCGCTGTTTTACTGGGAAAAAAAGAGGTGGGGGGGGGGGGGGGGGGGGGGAGGATTCAACTAAACAGTAGACTGTTTAGGCAATAATCATAATTTATAAATGATTAGATAATTCTGGAGTAAAGGGCATAATAAACATTGCGCACCGCGGAACAAGCTCCCAAATTTCTTCGAAGTGGGGGAAGCAATGCTGAGAGCACGTGCAGAGGGTAGCGTAAAGAAGAGTATGCTGACACAGTACTGACACACGGCTGCGATTTTTCGAAAGCACACACAAAGGCTCTTAGTTGTGCATATTCTGCAAACAAAAAAAAATAGGACCATGTGCCTTTGCTCATTAAAGAATTGCGCGTTCCAACGCCCCATATAGAAGAGGTATCACCTTCTGATCCATGCCGTTAGTGCCAGGGCACGTCAACAAAAAGGGTTATACACCCAACCACATATGCGTGCGCAGGGTTTCCGTTCGGGGGGGGGGGGGGGGGCGAAGATTCATTACAGCATCCCCCTCCCTATTGCATCAATGTGTGGGGCTGACTTTGCACCCCTTCCCCTCTCTTAGCTGAGTAAAAAAAGTGCCCCCCTGCCCCGCCCACCCGCCCTTCTGTGCACCAGCCTATGTTAGCAACCTAAAGAAGATAGCTGGAGTTCGCCTTGCAAATAGTATTGATAAATGCAAGTAATATTGATGACGATAAAGCTGAAAATTGTAACGTAATGCGCTAGCGTTTGCAGCTATATCAACAAAGCTTGTAAAGCAGAGTAGAGTAGAGATCACTGAAATTATGATTGATCGATATGTGGGGTTTAACGTCCGATAACCACCATATGATTATGAGAGACGCCATAGTGGAAGGCTCCGAAATTTCGACCACCTGGGGTTCTCTAATGTGCACCCACATCTGAGCACACGGCCCTACAACATTTCCACCTCCATCGGAATTGCAGCCGCCGCAGCCGGGATTCGATCCCGCGACCTGCGGGTCAGCAGCCGAGTACCTTAGCCACTACACCACCGCGGCGGAGCCACTGAACTTATGTCCCCCACTCGGATGGGTGGTATGACCAAGAACTGGATCTTCTATTCACGAAAAATTCCTTGCGCTAAAAATTTGAGTGCTAGAATATTTTAGCCAGTCATGGATGGGAGACATATTAATAGGTGAAGCCGGTTGACCAACAGGAAAACATGGTTACGAAATAGAAGTTTCATGAATTCGGCCCCGGGATAGTTTGCAAAGTTGAGAGACCTTCACGAGTGTGGCTATATCTTGTCGCCTGATGCAGATGTTAAGGTACTTCTAAAATAGCTGAATAATTACCATTGGCGACGCCACAACTCTATGTGCAGCAACAAGAAGCAGAACGTTACTGTTGAGATTTGTGGTGCGTCCTGTACTTTAATGTTTATGCTTTTGTCATTCCCCTAGAGCCAAAAATAAAATTTAATTGAACGTGCATTACCACTGTCGCGTTTTTTTTTTGTAATTCTTCTTAGTAGCTAATTATCGTTCAGTATCAGAGAGATAGAGACATGCGTAAATAGTGCGCGTAGATAATTGCTTTATTTGATGTTATAATCAGTACGCGCAGAGCATAATTTGTCAGTTTTTCCAAAAGTTTCGAGCCTACTTATTCCTTGGGATGTCTTATTCAGCGGAAGAAAATGAATGAATGAATGAATGAATGAATGAATGAATGAATGAATGAATGAATGAATGAATGAATGAATGAATGAATGAAATAGAAGAGGTAAAATTAAGAGCTCTTATAACATTTTTTAGCATTGGGCAGTATCACCGGGTAATTGGAGCCAACCATACACCGAAAAAAAAAACTAGTGAGAAAAAAAGAAAACACATGAGAAATTTAGTGACATAACACTTCTGTTCTAGTTTATTTTCTGTTTTTCATTGAGCAGGCATTTAGCCTACAATATCTGCTAATGTTTTTGTCTTCTTCTACAGAGATTTTCCGTGTTTGATTTCTTCCTAAAAAAAACAGACTTTTGGTATCTGCACACAATTTTTCAGTCAATGCTTTTTCTACTGTTCTATTGAAATTTTATCACCCAAGAACCACGGCAAATTAGCAGGTTATTGCACGCTTTGTTGCCCATGACGTCCAGCACTCTCTGTGTTTTGCGGCATTCCCTACAACATTATGGCAATGTGTTTAGAACAAGTAGTAGACGATTCACAGTACTACGCACTGTAATATGTGAGAGCAGTAAGCAGCTGTCTCTACGACGCCGCTATGTGGCATAAATACAACGTGTTTGCGTTTATTGTTAGCGGTAGCTACCACAAGGAATCTATAAACAGAAGGCACTTGTCGCGACCACCAAAATGCCTCGAGTGTTGGTGGAGTTTGACATTATTTTTTGCGAAGTCCGTATTTTATAAATTTGCAAGATGGTCACTGCCAGCTTGGCGCTCTGTTCTAGGCAGGGCTTTTATCGTACCAAATGTTACACTTTTGCAGGGGATGATCCATATTAGGAAACGTCAGCATGAAGTAATCTGATTTCCAGTGCCTTGAGAGCTCAAACATTATACTTTACAGTTGCAGAACCAGTGAAATCTAACAATGTTTCGTATATATTACAAAGTAGCTCTAATATTTACAGAAACTATGTGTTTGCTAGATATAACTGACAAATTACATAATTTGAAAAACAGATTACCTATTTCGCTTAATCCAAAAAGTATCGTGTAGGTGAAACAGAAAATACCTATAAATTTTATGAAGAAGTGCATACTTTAAGGGCTTGTTTTTTTTTTCTTAGACGCAATATTAAAGAGATCGAACAGACAATCATGCCA